TAGCTCAAGAGGGTACAGGTGTTGCTGGTGTTTGCTGTCTTGAGTTGAACTGCGCGGATGATTCCGTCCTTCCCGGGATAGGTTTTGTTTACTATCGCCAGTGGCCAACTCCCATGATTCTTGTTTTCGGTCTTTATAGTTACGACATCTCCAACATTTGGCTGAAATTTGGCCACTTTGTGTGTCAGGTTGTGCCGCTCCCTTAAAACTGTTAAATATTCTCTCTGCCACCGCCTCCAGAGATTGTTCTTGCAGTTCCTGAGGTATTTAGCGCGTTTGCGTAGGTCCAGGTCTTTGATCCTCTCTGTTTTCTCTTCTGGCAGCTGACTAGTTCGCTGAAACAGGAATGTTGACGGTGTAAGTGTTGGTAGCTCGACATCATCTTCTACATAACTTAATGGACGTCGATTGATTTGTGTTTCCACGTCGAGCAGTACCTCGCTCAGCTCAGTCCAGGTAAGTACACCTCCCCCAATGACTTTGTACATGGCGGACTTTACGACTCCAATCGTCCCTTGCGCACCCTGTGAGTGGTGAACCGTCACACCCAAGCTTGGATGCGAAGAGCTCAGGGTAAATCATGGCGTTCTAGGAGTTCGTCGAACACGTTCCGTTCTTGTTCAGGTTTCTCACTTGCTAGGCTTAGCACTTCTCTGATGACTTTTGCCTCTTCTTCTGAGGTTTCGGATTTCACGGTAACCAGGTTCTCTGGCCACATTTCAGGATTACGTAGCCACGCTGGGCCATTCCACCAAAGCTCTGCGTTGGTTACCTGGCCTCCTCGACTCGCCAGGTCCGCTGGGTTATCGGTAGTGGGCACGTGTCTCCACTGGATCTGTGGGTATTGTCTTATTTTTTGCACGCGGTTAGAGACGAACTGTCGGTACTGACCATTTCCTACAATCCAGTGGAGGGCGACGGTGCTGTCCAGCCAACCGTAGATCATGGGTTCGGGTAGTTCTTTTAGAGCGTTTCTTACGTTGATGACTAAATTGGTAGCCATGTGAGCGCTGACTAACTCCAACCTGGGGACGGTTAGTTCTCTCTTGGCTAATCTTGCTTTTGCTGCAACCAGGGTTTGAGTGATTCCATCTTCTTGGCGTACGACTGAATACACCACTGCTCCAACCCCATAAGTTGACGCATCCCCAAACACATGCAGCTCAGCGGAGATGACTGGTTGTTGATAAGGTGTTAAGGGTCTTCGAGTGGTTACTTCCGCCGGAAGTGACTGCTCCCACCTTTGCCAGCGTATTTTCAGATTCCCTGGGATAGGTGCGTCCCATGATACTTTGCAGTCGCACGCTTCTCGGTAGAATTGCTTCCCTTGCAGTGTAATGGGGGACGCTAAGCCAAGGGGGTCGTACACTTTCGCTAGTTTGGCCAGTACTTCACGTTTTGTCGGTGCACTACTCGCGCTTGGGAACTGCACGGCGATAGTATCTTCGAATTTGTCCCATTTTACGCCCAATAGCTTTGACTCACTTGGCTTGACTAGTAACTGTTGTTTTGCATAAGACTGATCTTCGCTTGATGTGGCTTGGGCGCTGTTTTTACGTAAAGTAGGCTGGGCAACTTCCTCTCCTTGTGCAGGTTGGGTGTCATCTTCCAGCTGTGCATGATTTGAGTGCCATTTGTGTAACTCAAATGTGGCGTCCTTCATAATTTTTTGCGTCACCTCCTTTCGTGCTTTTGCTTGCTGTACGTCTTGACCGCCTGTCAACAGGTCGTCTACGTAGAAACTTCGGCGTAGCCGCTCTACCTCCTCCGGGTATTTCTCCGCCCAGGTATCAGGATGGCATTCAAGAACCCCACCTAGTAGAAAGGGTGAGGGGGCGAGCCCAAAGAGTACTCTCGTGAACCGGAATGTCTGCACTTCCGAGTCCGAATCTGTCTGCCAGTGAAAACGGAGGGCATCTCGTTCACTCGTGAATCCGGATTTGTAAGAAGGCTTTCTTAATGTCTCCCGCTAGGACAACTGGGTAGGCTCTCTGCTGAATTAGAACGTCCCATAGTTTGTTTTGCAGCGCAGGCCCTGGGTACAGACAGTCATTCAGTGATGGTGAATTGGGTGTTGCTCGGGCTGAGGCGTCATAGACGATCCGCATCTTTGTAGTTTCAGCGGACTTGCGAATCACGCTCTTGTGAGGGATGTAGAACTCTTTCTGTGGCTGTGAAACAGGGGGTGCCTTTTCGATAACGCCTTCTGCCAGCTGTTCTTGAATTATCCCGTCGTATTGAGCCGTCATTCCCTCGCGTTGAAGTTTTCTACTGAGGTTCTTGAGTCGTTTTAAGCTACCTTCCTTGTTTGAGGGCAGTTCTGCGTGGTTAGCTTTCCATGGGAGGGTGGTCTCGTACCAGCCTTCTGGCGAGCGCGTTAGGCGTTCCTTAAACTCATCAAACACCATTGACTGGTCATGATCTGCTATATCACGCAATCCCAAGACGTCCGATCTGCACAGATCTTCGTAGTTGCTTTGACTTGTCTGGGTGAGAAGCATGGTGTTTTTGTCAAACTCCTTTCCCGGGGACATCAGAAACCATCCGAATTTGGTGAGTTCTGCGATAGGGTCATTCTTTTGTCCAATTCTTGGCTTTGTTTCCGTTTTAATTCTGGCGTACTCCCCACTGCCAAGCACCACGTGAACCGGAAGAGACGCTTTTGTGTCATCATCGTAAACATTTACGCCTTTCAAGTGTGGGTACTTCTCAATTAGCATGCGATAGTTAGGGTTTTCAATAGACAACAACTCTGTCTTGTTCACTTTGGTAGCTTTGACGGACAGCGAAAATTGCCGGTTTACAGATCTTAATTTGAGATCGTAGACTTCGAGTTTGGCAATTTTAGAGGACATCAACATATCGATCGTTTTTGTCTGGACATTGGTTGGCTTTAAGCGAAGTAGTTCGATCAGCTTTGCCAACACGTACGATATATATAAGCGCTTATTTAGTAAAATTTGTCTGCGATCTGTCTGTGATCTTCGCCGCAGTATACACAACCACGAGGTCCAGGGAGTTCTCGACGCGCATGATACATTTTGGTTGGGCGTGTAAATCTTTTGGCTGATTGCTCTTGTTCGCGCTCAGTTCGTGTTGTTTCCGCCGGGTTCCGTCTCACCCACAGTCGAATTGCTTCGGAAAGAATAGCGAAATTCCAGCTCTCCCAATCTGGATCTGTTCGAACGAGGTCTCCGCGGATGGCTGGCAATTTGTCTAGCGTCATGGACACCGCCCCATTGACTTGCTTGAGTTTCTTAAGCGTCTGCAAGGCCTGCACGCAATATGTTAATTTCTCGCTGAAATCGCCGATTTTCTTTGGATTCGCGTTTGGTACTGAAGAAATGTCCAAAATTTCTCTAGTGTATGCCTTCACGATCTCAGACTCTTTACCGTACTTTTCTACTAAGATGCTCTTTGCGCGATTGTATCCCTCTGACGTGAAGGGTAACGCCTCTATTGTTCGTTTTACTTTGAAGTCGAGCAGTTCTCGTAGGTATGAGAATTTCGTTATCGGCGCGACGCTTGTTTTGTCGATGGTCTCGCTAAACTGTCCCCAAAATCGTGGCCAGTCCATGAAGGTGCCGTCAAACTTCGTTATCACTAGTTTCGGTAACTTGGCTTGGATGTCGCTTGACGTGTTAGTGTGAAGCGGGTGTTGGCTAGTCTGCGTAGCTTGGAGCTCCATTTGCAATTCCAGCTTGGTTTTATAAAGTTTTTCTTCGAATTGCAGTTTCTCTTCTTGAGCGAGCACTTCTGCTTCCCTTTTCCGATCATCCAGCCACTTACGTACTTTCACAACTTCGTTGTCTGCTTCTTCAACCTTCGCGTCTAGGTGGGCGTTCCACGTTTGAATATCGGCGATCTCTTTTTCGGCCGCTAATTTTTTGGCTTCTACGTGGAGTCGCATCCGATCAATTTCTGCTGTGATGGCCTTAAGAGTCGCAAGCTGCCTCTCAACTGGTTCGGGTTTCCCTGCCTCTAAAACGGCGTTCGTCTTTGCCACTGTCATGTTGAGTTGCATAACTTTGATGTTCAAAGTTTCCACTGTCGCCTCCATCTCGTCGAGAAAAATTCAGAAAGCAAATTATACTCACTCAATTTTGTCGTAACTGTTATCCTTCAGAATTGTCGCGTTGCCGGAGGTGCCACGTTTTGTAAACTTTGTCCTGTTTACTAGGGATAGAATTCTAACGAACGAGACTCAATTAAACTGTTTTATTCCGCTCTCGTATTCGCTTATTTACATCGGGTGTGTAAAAAGCTACTCTGCAAAATTTGTAAGAAATCACTCTCTTATACGATATTTTCTACATTTTGATTGGTTGTTGCCGAGTACTGATTTAAAAAGGTCATTCAAGGTTGCGTTGATTATGTAAACCATTCAATGTCCATAATGTTCGCACTCATCATCTGACATGTGTCACGCACGAATCAAAGTCTCCGACACGTATGCCACCACTGAATTTCGCTCCTCCTGTCTCGCACATCCTCTTCCATATATGAAGGTCCCATATAAGGCTATGTCACGCATAGTAACAACATTACACTATCAATAGTTTCTGTTCTGCATTCAAGGCTTCTGTGCAGATATAACCTAAAATAGTTCATTTTGAAACCGAGACATGAGCTTCCAGGATGGTTATGGTGGTTTCAAAACATTTTAAAAATCTTAGTATATACTTAGAAATGTATTAAATTCTGTATATTAATGATTTACAATCACGATGTTATAGGATTACAACAAAACCGAACATACATTCACACGCATTGCATTGTGGGATGTCTAATGCATAAACTTATAGTTAACTCAAACATCCAGTTTTAATACACTATATCCCTTCTTTTGTTTTTTTTTTTTGTTTTTTTCAGAGTATAATGAAATGTCCAAAATGAAACGAGATCGAAGCCTTAAATACTGGATAAAGAAGTCATGTTCAGTTCCATAACATGATAAACAGGGTACAGCTGTAAGACACTCTGCCAGCAACAAAGTCCCATCATGCCTTTGACAGTTCATAATCCTCAACTTGTTTAGGAATTCTAATCATTCGAGTTGGTCTCTGGCTTGTTTTAAGCATAGGTGAACTTGGGTTAACTATCTGCTGCATTGAAATTGGGCTAGCAATTGGCTGGCTTGCAATTGGCTGGCTAACAATTGGCTGACTAGCAATTGGCTGACTAGCAATTGGCTGGCTAGTAATTGGCAGAAATGGTGTTGCTGGTTCTAATGGGCTAGCAGTTGGCTGACGTGGTACCACTGATTCTGATTCTGTAGCACCATTCTCCTGGTACTTCTTAACAAATGACACATTCCATTTTAATTCCACACCATCTTTCTTCCTTAATGTGACTTCTGTATTTCTGTCTATGACTTCACAAGGACTTGGGTTGAAGTTTTGAGACAGTTTGTTTGTTTGTTTTCGTGTTTCTCAATAATACGTGATCTCCAATTTCCACTTGACTCTCAACTGCATTTCTCTTTGTGTCCACATAGTCTTTCTGTGTCAGCTTTCTTGCCCATTCCCAGTCACAGATTTCTTCATTGGTGATGGGTGTCTCATGTCTCAACTCTGGCAACTTCGACTGCATTTCTCTCCCAAACATTAAGAAGAATGGTGCCACACCAGTTGTCTTTTGAGAAGTGGACCTGTGTGCAGTTAAAAATTTGTGAAGCTTTTGTTGCCAATCTTTTCCTTCAATTTGGGCTACCTGGATCAATTTCAACAAAGTGCAGTTTTGACGTTCTATTTCCCCATTTGCCTGGGCTCACAGAATGAGAGTTGTTTGGTGTTCTATCCCCTTTTCGATAAGGAAGGCTTTGAACTCCTCTGAAATGAACTGAGGGCCATTGTCGGTTTTAAGTGAGTGGGGAACTCCAAACTGAGCAAATATTGGCTAGAGGCTGTTGATGACCTTTGTGCTTGTAGTTGACTTCAGGATAACTACTTCAAAATATCTGCTATCATAGAACTGTAACAATAGAACTAAATTCTCTCCAGAGGATAAAGGACCCAGTATGTCTGCAGTACAATCTTGCCATGGTCCACTTGGTGGGTAAGCTTGCACCATAGGCTCTGAAGCAGAATATTTGCTGACAGCTTGACAGCCATGACAACTCTTGCATAGTTTTTCTGCATCTACTTTCGGTCACCACACCTTACTATACAGTCTGCACTTTGTTTTCACAATTCCTTGATGTCCTTCATGAGCCAATTTCAGAAAGTGTTCCTGTAATACTTGGGGAATTACAATTCTTGAACCATGCAGCAGTAACTGACCATAAGAACACAGTTCATTCTTCACATGTAAATAGGCAGGTATATTACAAGCATTCCAGTCTCCCATATGCACACATTCCTTTACAAGGCTTATTTCTGGGTCTGCTGCCAAAGCTTTCTCAATCTCTGAGGGTGTTAGAGCACAAGAAGTGCTATTCTCAACTTCACTGCGAACATGGTCATAGTGTTGTCCTTCACCACAGGGTACTCTACAATTCAGCCTTGACAACGCATCTGCAATGTTGGTTCTTCCTAGTTTGTAGATGACCTTAAGCCACTCCCACGTTGGTTTGCCCAGCAGGTTGCTTGTTACACCAGAGTCAATTAGGAGATTTGGCAAATGGACACCTCCAACACACAGGGTTGTTATTCCATTACTCTGTCGTGTATCATCTCCTACAGAAAACACATACTCAGAACCAGTGCTGGGTCTTTCATTTTGTTCTACACTTCTATTTCTATGACCATCACCATCTATAAAATTTGTGTTTGTCTTCTTGCTGCTCTCAGTTATCTTTGGCTCAACTTTCTTATCTCAGTGATTGATACCTCATCTTTCCCCCGGCTGAAAATTTTGGGATGTCCCTCTCTGACACTTCACTTTAAATGACTGAATTCTCCACACTGGTCACATTTACGACCCCTCGCAGGACATCTTCTATCCTTTGCAAAATGATCCTCTGGCCACAGTTAAAACAACTCCTCCTGTCAACATTCCTATTCAACCCAGTACAAGTGACATTATTGAGTTGTTCTGAATTAGCATTCCCTCCCATTGTCACCATTTGTAAATAAACTGCTTCCTGAGCTCTAGCAGTTATTAAGAGATCATCCAGAGCAGCATTGCCATCTTTTTCAAGGAACTTTTGACGCAACTTCACAGAATAACATTTATCAATTAACTGGTCTCTGAAGTACTCATCCTCCTGCTCCCCAGAGTCACATGAGGCTGTGTGTTGTCTCAGCTGAGAGACAAATTGATCAATAGTCTCCTTGCTACTTTGAGTAATTTGGCAAAACAATTGTCTCTTCAAAGGTACATTAGCTTTAGGAATAAAGTAATCATCTAGTACCTTAGGTGTGGTGGGGTAATCCCTATCTTCACCATTAGGAGCAAGAGTAAAATAAACGTCTTGAACCTCAAGACTGGCTGTGTGAAGGAAAAGGCCATGTTTCTGGATGTTTATGATCCCTTTTCCCAGCACGTATAACTCGAAAGCTTTTCCAGTGCAGTGAAATGGAGTGCAGATCCCCATTTACTTGAAAAGGCTGTAAACCACCAACCTCTACAGCCACTGATGTCACAACTCCACTGTTAGTGGCAGTACTTGTCGAACTTCCTGTCTCGTCCAATCCCCCGGGCATCACACCAAACTACGTCTCCTAACATATGCAAATCTCCTTTAAAACTTTCACAAAAGTGTCCTTTACTGTCCCATCCTTGTCGCCAGAAGTTAAATTCTGTATTCTAATGCTTTATAATCACGATGCTATAGGATTACAAACTTATGGTTAACTCAAACATCCGGTTTTAATACACTTCAAAATGCACAATTAATCAACAAGCAAATCTGAACTTTGATATTCCTAAAAGCCAGATATACTTGCACTTTTTTTAAAATATCTCCCGAACTTCCTTAGAAACTGCTTTTTTTATCTTTCATTTCCCTTAGAAGGTTTAACTTTTGTTCTCTGGCCTTCCCCCTTTTTTTGGGTATATGTTTTTAGGAAAGAAAACTAACAAATCTAAACTTTGATCTGCATAAAAGCTAGATTTTTTTGTCAAATCTCTTCATCGCTTGTTTTTTAATGTTTTGAGAAATTGGCTAAAATATTGCTTTTTTTTATCTTTCATCTCCCCTAGAAAGCTTAACTTTTTTTCTTCAGCCTTCTCTCTTTCTTTGGTATATGTTTGTAGGAAAGTTAGCATTTCAGCAGCTGATGAAAGACTCTTGTTTGTGCTGTCTGGTATTTTTCAGTTCCTTTTTCTCTTGATTTTCATTGTCATCAGAACCTTCATCACTGCAGTCTGAGCAGGCTTTGGTTGTCAGTAGTGCTGCTGGTGGTTGATGGAAATTCTGATCTGGATGCCTGACTTTCACTTGATGCATGAAATGTAAATGCTGGATTAACTTTAGGATTTTGGCCAATGCAATCAGCCATTTTGTCGAGGAATTTCGAATCCTTTCTGCCTCTTCCTGTTCTTTTATAGTTGTCTTCTATTTCTCTATTCTATTGTTCTAATTTTGTCCATTTTCAAAGACACTGATTGCCACTGATAGTAACGTCTGCAGTGGCATTGAAATATTCTGCAATTTTTTCAAGCACCTTTTTTTTGGTCACCTTTACCCTCTTGGTGTTGAAAAGATGCTTGTGATGATTGTAAGCTTCTATTGGTGAGTGAACATATCAGTTGTCCCACTTTTGAAAGGTTCCCTTGTAAACAATTGAGTCTGAATTAAAATAAATGATACACATTGTTCATTCGTGTCATATAAAGGTGGGAATCAAGTGAAACTTTGAGGACCCCCTTGAAGCAAATCAAAAGCAGATCATTTGAACCATGACAAAACCTATCTTTATGCATAACATTGTATGGAGTTTTCATAGATTATTTTTGGTGCCATTCCTCTTTGTGTTCATTTCTGGTCTGACATTGGTGGAAGATTTTGACCTGATTGTTTTGGTATTGCTAATGCGGTAAATATTGTAGTAACATTAATTTGATTATAGCTGCACCTTTTGGTGCCATTAGTAATACTGTTGGTTTTTCAGGATTACAAAATCCATGTCTAAAACTCTGTAGTAGTGTGATAAATTATGTTATAAGATGTGATCTGCCAGCACCTGCACCTCCAGTTATAAACAAACAGATTGGCTGAACTTCAACAAGTTGTAAGCTGTTGATGTTTTTTACCTGTTTCTACACCATGAAAGTGCATTGTCATATCCTTGACATTGCTGAGTGTTAAAAGATCTTAAAGATTTTCATGAGAAGGGGGGTTTGGCCAATAGCCGAGGGTTTGGGGTTCAGAACAAGTTCGGTTGCAAACTTACTGCTGGTGTGAAATGATTGTTAATTCTGTGACTGCAGCATTCTTTGTATGACATGTTTTAGAATTGTCATGACAACAACGTATTTCTGACCACTAATCAGATTCTTTTCTTCCCACACATTGAAAGACAATCTCACTCAACTGAGCAAAACTCTTCATTTCACATTACACGTGAAATATTTGGTCTCTCTACTGTGAAAACCTCTCCATCACTTCCTCATCTAGATCAGGATACTTGGGAGGGAAATGGCCCATTTTTTCACATTTTGCAGTCATCTTAAGCTTGCCAGAAGAGGAAAGAGCAACATTCTTTTAGCATGATGAGAAAAATTAACAGTGACGAAAGAGATACTTGATTGAAACGTTTGTCAAGTTACAGAAACTGAGAGTACTGTTGTGTTTCTGCAGTCATGTGATAGTATCTACATCTTCACTGATCCGCTTTTCTTCTTTTGTGTTTATTTTAATTCATTAGCGCTTTTGTTCAGTGAGCCATTCCCCAATGTTTCCCCGTGAGGTTCGTTCACTCAAATGGCTGGTGACAATCAAGAATTTCACTTTTGGCTTATAGCTGATGGTTTTGCTTTTTCATTTTGGACAGCACGAGTCTGTTAGAAGGTCTCTAACTTTTAAGGTCTTGGCTTATAGCTAAGATCAGCTTATAAGTGAAGAAATATGGTACATCGTTTCCTCTTGCAGTCTTTCTTAGGCCAAACATAGCTACAGCAGGGCTCAGTCTTTCCAAAGAGGTGCTCAACAGTCTATTTGCCTGGTGTGTCATCTTCAAACCAGGGGAACAGAAGGAAATATCTGTGCTCAGGATTTATGTGAAAGGAGTGGTACATCTATTCAATGTTGCTCATATAGGCTGCCCTCATAAAGCAAACTACCACTCCTTGCAGGCTGTTCATGAGGTCTGGCCCTGATAGCAGCACTTTGTTCAGAGCAAAACATCAGTGTTTGGCAGATGAGTCAAACACCACTGTTCTCTGCATTGGCCTCTTATGATAGTAGGCTCAATCAGACTCAATAACTCTTCTTTCTGCACAGGGGAGGCATGGTTCTTGTTGATAATTGGTGTGGCTTTCTCTTTAGGATGCAAATGGGGCTGATGAAGCAGTAAACTGCTTGGTTGGGGAATGGTATGTATTTGTAATTTCTTAACTTGGTCATTTCCCCTGTTGGGGAGTAGCCTAGCAAAGCAGGCATGTTAGCATGGCATGGATAGCTTTGACTTGAGCACTTACACTGTTTCTTGTGGAGTTTTATTCCATTCTTTTTTTTCATATCCTCAGTGTTAGCAAAGTAATAAAACCACAGTTGGGAAATAGCTGCCAGATTACTTTTGCATGCACCTATTCTTAGTTTGAGAAAAGTGCAAGTAGCCAAGCTAAAAGCTGATGTCAATCTTACAAAACAGGAAGCTAAGTTTGTTAATACATGCCTTTGCAGAATACTTTCATTTGAAAAGTTTCTGTTTGAATTCTTAATTGTAAATTAAAAGTTAAGTTTTTTATTTACTACATTGTTTTATGTTAATGTCTTCAATTTTCATTCCCTACTAATTTAACAAATAAATATCAGACAAATAGGAGCAATTCATTCCTGCACTATATGAATGTTTTGTAAATTTTATGCCTTTCAAGTTTTGTGTGGCATTAAAGTGAATGCTTTAACAGCTTGGTCACCAATGCCAACAATAGAGGAAGAGGGGTTGCTCTTTTCCCACCTTCCTTGACCATCAAGAACTCAATACCTATCAGACAGCAAAGGCAATGCTCAATTCTCCAATTCAATATCTGAAGCATTGCTTAAACAATTTCATCAAGCAAATTTGATTGTCAATGGACTGATGAAAGTAAAGGGGAGGTGCCTTGTTAACTAATTTTCTGGAGTCTGTTTGATCCTTATGGAAGCATTCCCATCAACCTCAGTTAGACTCATTCACTATATTTCAACTAGAATCAGTACCACAAGTAGCAAAAGATTCGTACCATATGAGGTAAAAGAGACTTGAAAGGACAAGTTCTTCTGTCTGGCTAACACTGATCAGGAAAAGAAACCAGAAAAAGAAGAAAAGATTCACCTTAAAGACAAATCGATTTCATTATGTACAAAAAAGTTTTAAGATTTAGATTTAGATTTCAAGCTTTGATGGCTGTTGCATGAACCAAAGAATTAAAGAATGCTTTCGCTCAGCATATTGCAGTAAACTCATTCAAATATTAATGTTTGTGAGAATGAGATGATACACAGTTTACCTTTTTGTTAACCCCAGGTATGATCATTCTGTTATGATTTCCAAAAATTGAGGAATACATCATGGACATCCTTATCTGGTGTGAAAATGAACTAATTTGCAACCCAGACAAAACAGAATTTTTCCATTACATGTAACATCACGGTTTGCAAAGCATCATGAACAAATTATGGGACTTAATATTATCAATGCAAATATTGTTCCTTAACTAGCAATTTGTGACGTGGGAGTCCTTGTTGATTCACATCTTCAAATGGCAAAAATATATTACCAACATTTGTAAATCTGGTTATATTGCTTTGAAAGATGTTGGTAAGATCAGAAACTACACAAGTCAATCTGATTGAGAGCATTTGGTGCATGCTTTTATTACATCAAAGCTGGACATGTTTAATAGTACCTTGACTGGATTGCAATTAACTGATATAGACAAACTTCAGATCGAGTAATGTCTAAATGAGTTACTTTCTGTTGAAAATTACAACAAGTTAGAACCAAGACAAGTTTTGAATGTTACTTGACTGACGGCCATTTTGAAAGTTTATATGGCTGTGGGAGCTGGGGCAACCAGAAACAACAAATGAATTAACCAGAAGCAGCTATGCTTGCAGTAATGTTGCAGAATGGTCAAACAGTGAAATACAGAACTTTTGTTAATCATGACTTTTAAAGATTTGGTGGCTGCAAGGCTACAAGGTTGTTTGACAATTGGGTTGTTAATTATCTCGCAGTCTGTAGAGTTTGGAGCAGGCTCACAGCAACTGCTCTGCTGTCCGATCACCGTTCTTTTACTGATACCACAGGCTAAAGATCTTTGCGTGCAGCAGCTGATACAATTGTCACTGAATTCTGCACAGTTTATGCCCTCAAACCATTCAAATTTGGAGGGTTGTAACGCAGCTCTCTTCTTGTAGCAGCTAGATCAACATGTACAGGGGAAGCTAACTTTGTCCCTGAGGTGAAAAGGAAGAGAATATATATAAAAATTTAGAAATAATTCAGAAACAAACTCAAAACGAGAAAATGTGCAACAAAACTGAGAAACTACTAATTTGCACTAACCAACACCTCTGACACTTCACAACACCTCTAGCTGTTGCTTGCTGATGAAGATAGGGTGATGACACCCATGTACTTGAAAAATTAAACAAAAACCACAACAAAACGTTCTTCTAGCTGCTTAAGATATACTTTTCATTTTATCTTTGTAATTTAGCTTATCTATCTCTCTCGAAACGTCTATCAGATACTACTTAATAACTTCCCTAATAATACAATAGTTAGTACAATAAATGCGTGCAACTATAACATGTGATAGTGAAAATACAAATGAATTAGTGGCCTGAACTATTAACTTTGCTCACAAGTGCCTTTCACATTGGTAGAATACTAACCTTAATATCTCCAAAGAGAAAGTTCTCAGGGATGCGCCCAGGCTGCAATTCAAACTCAAGGTCTACAGGATCTACTGGTCTCAATTGCTGCCAAAGGTGGTTGGCTGCTTTGGTAAGGTTTACCAGCTTTGGCAAACTGGGGCAAGGATCATCTGTCAGCTCCTCTGTTAGCACCTCATTGACGATTGCCAATGCCAGAACAACAACAACAACAACAACAACTTTATTTTTTCACCCCAAAATATACAAGTCTGGGCTGCTAAACTTGTGCCCACTTGCCCTGGGTGATTGTGTGGCATGGGGCCCAAGACAAGTTCACCTGACGCCCTCTCAACTACAGTAGCTCTACAGGCATTACCCGATGGAGAATATAAAATGCAACAATCAGATTATGAGGCCAACTATGGCAAGAGGGTGCATAATCTAATGTTTAGATTAAAAAAATTTCAGTTACTTTGCATCAACAAATTTTCAATTGTATTACATCAATTTTTCGATTACCATAAATCAACAAATTTTCAGTTACATTAGATCAAGCACTTTAATTTTCTGCTTGAAAAAACTGAAAGAAATGAATATAAAACTGTACCTTTGGTCTCACAGTGCACTGCCAATCGGTGTTTCCACCTTGACATCTTTTAACGTTGTAATTGTAACCATGGCTGCCTACCAGCTTATTTATGCCCCACTTTGTGGAATTTTCCACTATCTCAAACTCAATCTTGAAGCTGGCTGGTCCAGAATCTGGTGCTGAAGGCTCCATTAGTGACAAATCATCAAATGTAGGAGGTTCAGGAGACATAGCAGGAGAAGTAGGAGAAGGATTGTAGCCAGGCTCATGAGGCGTAGCAGGAGCAGCATCATGGATTGACTGAGTTTCCAAGGATGAAAAAGGTTTAAGTTAGAACAAAATAATTTCTCAAATCATAGGGGATTCCGAAAATATCAGAAGGGCTTATAAGGCTCAGGTAAATTATATAACTTAATTTAAGGGAAGAAAAACGATTAATTGAACTTACCATAGACTGAAAGATGTTGTTGGAAAATAGAACTAGGGTACTGTTATCGCAGTCTTCACAGTGCCAATTGATTGATTCACGGGAACGGAGTGCTCCATGGTAGTCATGGTGGCTTATGCTAGTTTTGCAGGTATGGCATTGCCGCCATTCACATCCATTGCAAAGGAAGGCTTCTTGATGATCTGATCACAGACGATGCAGGAATCTATGCTGTAGTTTTTAAAAGAATTTTTTTCAAAAATTGCAAACAATAGACTTACGGATAATGGAGAAGACAGCTTATTACTGATACTACTGCATAGTATCAGTAAATACTAAACAGAGCGGACCAATGAGGGAACAATGTCTATTAACTGCAATAATGAGGATCAAAATGCACCAATAGCATCAAAGCCTTTATTCACAAGTCTGATGTTGTTCTTAAGTCTGTTTGTGAATATTATCAAAAGCGTCATCAAAGCGTGGTTTTGCATTCTTTTTCAGTTCTATATTCACAAATAAAGTTAGACAAAGTAAGTATTAGTGAAAAAGGTTACACATAAATCATCATCATTAATCAAAAGTGTGATCAAATTGTGCTTTCACAAATTCTTCAGTCTTATTTTCATAAATATAGCTAAATGAGGTTAGTATCATTAAAACTGTTACACATTTATTAAAGGTCTAACAATTAAGCAATGCTGTTGCAATGATAGTGTGATTTGCATCTTCTCAAGTCTGGTTGCCATTATCACGTTTTGTGTGATCATGTTTCATGTGATCACTACAACACATTTTGTGTTTGTTAGATTAACCAAGATTGTTTGGCATCTTTTTGAGTCCAAATAATAAGTAAAGAAATGTTGTTTTGATCTAAACGTGTTTCACGATCCCAGTCAGAGTATTTAGTTGATTCTATCAACCCAGATCCCAAACAGATTCCATGCAATTGCCGAAATTCAAAATGATCATCGTTGACTTGACATTCAGCACATCGTTGAGTGATCTTTGTCACACACAAATCAACTCATCTGGACATTACTCAATCTAGGGGCGAACTTGACTTGGTGGGGTGGAACTCAAAAAGTGTGGGGGCGAATATAAGGTAAAGGCAAACTTGAGATGGGTCGGAAGCTGCAGATACCATATTGATGCTTAGCAGGATCTGCTTGTCAAATATTTTAATTAATTTCAAAAGCCCAGTGAAACATAATTAAAGAAATATATATTATTAGCACTTTATTCTTTACGTTTTAATATGCACAGTTTGAATATAGAGATTTAGATATATTTTGCTGCCAATATCAACTGGCAACAGCCCTTTCTGCTTCAATAGGTTTCTACATTTCTTCAATTGTAAAAGCATAGAGACCTTTTATATATGCTCCTAATACTTATCATCATCATCATTATTATTATTACTATCATTTATTGAGGAGTCTCTTTAGTAAAGAGAAAGGGAAACATTATTGGGATTCAGGAGCCTCTGCAATGCCTTAAAGCATAATCCTAGCTCAAGCATATGTAGTTATTAACAAATTAGAGTATGCAATTCAACAAATCATTTGAGACAGGCTTGTGTCTTTCTTGTCACTTGTAACCAAGTAGCAAAGCATCGACATACACAACATTTTTTTGGCTTAACTTGGTTTCACAAAAAGACAATTCCCTATTTAAAAACCTACATTAAGAAGGCAAACACTTCACTCAATGGAATGTCCAAAGTGTTGCCAAGAAAACCACACATTGCTACACCCCAGGCAGAGACTGATTACAATAACCAGACCTATAGCCAAACATTTGTAGCATCAACCCCAATAAACTTAACTGCAAGCCAGTTAATACAACCACTTACCACAGAAAATCACGAAATTGCCTTGGCCTCATGTGTCAAATTTGTGTAAGTGCCACCCACACATTTTTAATGGAGATCCCAAGCTTTTCCACCATGGAACATGGCCTTCAAGCTAAGACATAAGTTGTAAAGTTTTTGCCATCTAGGAGATTAATTATCTGCAAAGTATATGAGCAAAAAGCTTTAAAGATTTTGTTGACAACTATCAGAAGTGCAAACATTTTTATCCTATTGCACTGTGGAGTGAACTATGGATAGAGTTAAGAGGGCATTTTAGCAGTGCAGCAAACATACAAGAATTTGACCAGCTTTGTGCTGATGTTGACATGCTTGACTCCATCACTGATTAACCCAAGGACACAGCTAAGGACTGCAAGAAAAATGTCAAGTGTAGCATATGTAGAGACAAACAGCCAAGGCAGATTAACTGAGAAACTTATCACTGATAAGCAGTGAGCTTGCCAACATTGGGAGTTGTTGGCACTGAACAAAAGTACTTTCTTATGACTTGCAGGTGTGAAAAGGCAGTCAGGTATGGATGACATGTTACCGGGGCCTTGTCCTTGAGCAGTGCAATAGCAAAGCTGTTCTCCCTCACCAAGAGCAAAAACATTCCTCAGTGACAGCCCTGCTGAAGAATTTATTGTTACATAACTCAAATAAACAGAATAGCACACTAACTTCTTATTTTAAAATGACGTATTTCACACTTAATGGTATTTAAAAGCAATAATGAAAATGACAATTGACAACAACATAACTACTATGTCTTTTTAAGAAAACTCTACATAACACATAAACTGTGGTTGTTGTTGCACTAGCAAGGCTGTCATGTTCTGACTCTGCTGTTGTCGTATTATCCTCATCATTTCCTGCTTATGGGCCTGGCCCTGTGCTGCCTGTTGTTGCTGTAGTGCTAACTGTGCCTTTTTCAGTTCTTTCTTTCTATTTAGGTTTTTTCTCTGAGGTATCTCATAGACATATCTCCACTTCTGCACCTTCCTTTAGTGCTCACTGTCTCCTCTCTCTCTTCTTGTCTTTTCTTAGTCTGGCTTACCCTTTCCATGGCATTAACAGCATTTCAACTCTCTTCACTATCTTTCTCTTTTTCAGTGATATCTTCCAATAACTGGTCTAACTCTTACAATACTCATTTGGTTTCACTTTGTGGTCACCTGGAGTTGAAAACCATCCACAAGTTTCAAAAGATATATTTTGAGCTTAATCTTTTAAATCTTCAATGAATGAAAATAAACCTAACAATAAAAAATTTCTTACAATAAAACTTCATTAACAAAAAGTTTTCTTTCAAACATTGGGAAGTAGTTAAGACAAAGAGTGTTAGCATTCATTATCAAATGGGAACCAAAAGGAAAAGCAAAACAAGCGTGAGCAAACTTACTTGAGATGCTTTTCAACTGACATATTTAATCAATGCCTGTGGGAAAAGCAAAAATGCACAAATATTACACCAATTCTTACAAAAACTGGCCTGGAAATGTGAATAAAGCTAGAAGAATTAATTTGTCTCCATGACAAGGCAAAAAGTTGATTGAAATGTTAAAAAAACTTCACCCAAAACTTCTGTTGTGTGTATTGCATCAAACCACTCTGATTACCGAACTAGAGAAGACAGCCGCGGTGGCAAGAAACACAGACGGCAACACTTACGTGTGTGCAAGTCCACAAAACTGTTGGTGCTTCATGTAAAAGTCCCTATTATTAACGTGGAAGAGGAGAGGTCCTAAAATGTGCAGACTTTACCTGCTCAAAATTCTGGCATGTGTTTTAGAGCAGAATAAATCCTTTAAGATTCAAGACACTGTCTCAGCCTCATAGAACACTGTTAGTTCATTGGTGAAAGAAGTGGTCATTCCACTGTCATAACTCACACAATACTGCATCTTACAGGTGAAAATGACCATATCAGTGTGACATTATTGCAACCAATCTTAAGGGCTGTTTACATAGTCATTTGCGTGGGCACAAGGTGTGCTTCAATTATTCAGCTCTGAGTTATCAGCTGTCAGAGGTGTTCTGCAGGGCAAGAATGTAAACTTTGGAGGACTTTTGGCATAGAGGAAGGGGCTCTGTGCCTGACTTGGTGGAAATTAAGATAAGTGCAATTCCAGAATCACCAATACATTTCTCTGAGGTGGAAGAGCTATTACTGAGACAATAAGTTTCAGCCCTGCCACAAGAGGAGAATGGAGTAATGGGTTAATCCTTCAGCAGTCTGAGACATGGGTTATGCAAGAAAGGTAGAGACCAGTGTAAACAAAGTCTTTCTTGCAGTATTCTCAGTGCTTCTAAAGTTCATTATTTTTATAACTTGAAATCTGAGCTTTTTAAATTTACACATTAGACGTCTTTAGGCCACTATGAGCCTCTCTTTTCTCTCAATCTGTGGGGTGTGTTTTTATGCAGCCATTTTCTCTCTTCATATTTTGCCTCAAACTTTACGGTCTGATGCAGGATAGGGGCAGCTGGTAGTATAGACAGTCCTAGAAAAAGGTTATACTGCACCTTTTAGTGGATGAGAAATGTTCTTGCCCTACCACCCAGTTTGAATGAAAGTGGTTTATCTTGTGACAGAGAAATGAAAGTGTTGAATTGAATTATTTCAGACATGATTTGATGCTACTCTGGTTTGAAGAATGTAACCAAGAAGTTTCAATTCATAGACTCATATTCATAGATCTATTTATTGTAAATTCTTGGTTGCAATCATTAAATCTTTAAACTTGATTCCGTTTTTAACCTCTAG